TCAAGAGATATAATTAAAGAGAATGTAGATATAGTCATGTACTGCTTAATGACAGGGATACATTCTGAGGAATGCCGTTAGGCAATTTCATCATTGTGTGAACATCAAAGAGTGCATTTACGCAAGCGTACATGGTATAGCTTCTACACACCTAGGCCATCTGCTATAACTGATTGCTCCTAGACTATAGACCTGTCATACTTGTTACTGCATTGACTGCTATAGACAACTGTAAAACAATAGTCAGTAGCTGAATATCCAGATACACCCAAACATAAGAAAGAAGAGCAAAGCTACTCATAGAAATTTATTGAAACCTTATGGGATCACTGTCATATGTATGTTAGTCTTCAAGCAGTATGTGAATGTTTATGATATTAAGGGAGAAGATTTATTATTTAATATCAAATATGGGTAAATTATTAGATGACATGTAATGCAAATCAAAACAACTGTTTTGAGTTCAAATTTCATGAAAAATATTTTTAAATGTACAATTGTCTGTTTATCAGTGTTACAAAGGGAGAGAGACAGAGAGAGAGAGAGAGAGAGAGAGAGAAACTCTTTCATCTGCTGGTTCACTTTCCAAATAGCCACAACAGCTAGGGCTGGGCCAGATGAAATCCAGAAACCTGGAGCACCATCCTGATCTCCCTTGTGGGTGGCCAAGGTCCAAGCACTTGGGCCATCTTCTGCTGCCTCCCCAGGTGCATTAGCAGGGAGCTGGATCAGAAGTGGAGCAACCAGTGCTCATAAGTAATGTTGGCATTGCAGGCAGAGCCTTAAACCACTATGCCACACTGCCAGCCCCCAAAATTTGTAATAATCTTAAATTATTATGATAATTAAACAGAAGGCTGACTTTTAAATGGAGAAATCTACAGAATGAAGATTTTGAAAAATTTATAATTTATTGATGTTTGTAAAAATTATTTAATATTAATTTGTTAACCTAAAATAAGAGTTAATTTGGAAGACTATTTCTTTATAATATATATACATATTTGTAATATGTATATAAAAGTTAAGAAATTGAAGCTTTGATTTTTCATTTGATCCTTTTTTTAAATACTCTACAACTAAATAATATAATAAAACGTCTGTAACATATTATCACACATATCCATCAACATGGTTAACATGAAACAATGAATCTACTTTGTATCCCTAATTCATAGCACATTAGAAATCAACAGATACGAACAGAAAATAATTATTTGTGGAATGGTAGCTTAATTACTGGGTAGATCTTGAAATAAAATAGAATGAAATCAAAATTCAACCATTTTTGCATGGTCTGTCAGATCATACTAGACATCTCGGTGAAACAAGGTATTTGCTTCCATGAGTACAGATGTACACCCACACTTCAACATACCATGTCAGAATTGTAGTTAATTCCAGTCATTATAATAAAAGGTCATCAGTGTGTGCAGGACACAAGATCACTCATACTTCTGAAATCATCTACCAAAAATTACTTTGAAATCATATTTATTTTCCTTACAAAGCTATGTATACATAGAGAGTAAGACTGCATCGTGAAACTTCTGATATCCAAGTACACCTAAGTGACCATCTTTTCACTAATATTAATTTGAGGACAAAATGAGAGAAAATAATTTTCTTGAAGCTATCACATCCATGAACTTTGGTAATCTGTTTAAAACTAAAATGCCGTCTAGCTTTTAAAAAAAATGTTAGGTGCTTCCTAAGTTTTAAGCCTCTGGAATTTCTTAGAAATTCTGGAAAGAAATTCTCTATGGATTATGACATAACAGGTATTTCTGGAGAAACCTAATCAAGGAAACAAAGCAGTAAAGAATGAATATGCAACGCAGAAGTCTAAATTTCCTTAAATAAAGCATCTGTACTCACCAATTCCACTTAAGATAAAGAGCTCAACAACGAATTAAATGGTGTTGCAATAAGCAGTCCAAGTTTCCAGAAATTATTGAAGTTGTACATAATGACAACTGGTGGGGCAGGCCTTTGACTCCATGGTTAAGATGCCATTTAGAACCCTTGTATTCCATGTTGGAGTGCAACTGCCAATTTGTTTCCTGCTAATGTGTACCCATGGAGGTAGCAGTTAGTTTTGTCTCTGAAATGCATGTGGGAAACCTGGATTGAGTTCCTGGCTCTTGTCTTCAGCCTGGCTGAGCTCTGCCTGTTGCAGACATTTGGGGAGTGAGCCATAGCATCAGCGAATGCCGACTGTCTCTATGCTTCTCAAATAAAATAAAATAAACAACAGACTTTTGCTAGTAACTAAACATGATTATAAATTTTAGTAGTGGTATCATGTCAGTTTTAAAGTTACATTGCACCACACTTAAGGGCTTTCCATTTCAGAGTTGCCTAGTGACAATTAACTCATTATCCTCTTAGCTCTGACATAGTCCCCATCCAATGTTAACAAAGAATGAGTAATATTAAAGTCAATCTAGTTTGGTTAACTGTGGGCTCTGGACTTTGGAACATGGAGTGAATTTTGTTAAGAGTCAAATGAATAATCTCTTCTATCCACAGAGTCCCAATTCGAATGCTTTTTAAATAACTTAGCAGTAAGTTAAGAAGATCATACAATATCTATATAACTCTAAAAATTAATACAATAATAATTAACATTTTTGTATCACAACTGAATTCTTTGATTATAAAGCAATACATATTCCTAAGGTTATATTTTTTGAAAGTAAAATATGCTGTGAATTGCCTACCTTTCCTGTGATAAATAAATATTCCCTCAAAGTTTTATTTTTGTGCTAGTAACTTTTTAGGGAATGTGAAAAATTTCATATCAATCATGTTCAGCTTTCCAAAACCAATACAATTCCATATAGCAGTACTTGGGAATTTTCTTTGTGATAACCCAGAGGTTTAAAAACCTTTTGTGAATGATGTAAAACTGAGTAATATTCTATTGATTTCTATTTATAAAATGTGATTGCTGCACAGTTACTTGGATATTTCTGCAGTTTGTAAAATGAAGGGAGCATGAGAAACAACTACTGTCAAACAAATACTGTCAAGTATACCAGAGAAGCCAGGAGGCATGATGTGTATGAGTATTAAAAATATAAGCTTTGTGTTCAAACTCCAGTTCTGACAATTCAATGCTGTGTAAGTTTTGGAAAACTAGCTAACTCTTTGAAGCTTGATTTTTTTCTTTTGGAACAAGGATGCATTTATTTCTCAACGTTATTGTAAATATTTAATGAGATAATATATTTAACATTGAGATCCACTCCCTACATAGCTTCTTGAGCTAATGAACTCCTTTCTCTACCACAAAAGCTCAGAAGTCACAACTCACTTCTTGTTCCCTTTTCCTTGATCTCATGGGGCAGGACAACCGGAAGAACATCAATATGACTGGTAACAATTAACACTGGCACTACTAGATTGCATTCAGAAACTAATCTCAATGTAATCCTTTAATCTCACCTACTATGATTAGTTTAAGCCCCATGTGTCCTTGTTGTGTGATGAACTTCCAATAAACCTTTCCTGGTTGATTGCTATTGAATCAGGAAATAAACACTAATTCTCATCAGATTGGATGAGGAATGCAGTGAATCAATGTGTGCCAGGAAATGTGATATGATATTACAGACATTTTAGAATCATCATTTATTGGTTAAATGACAGGATATTATGTTTCTGAGTATTGATCATCATCTCAGTCTTAATTTGAAAACAGCAGAGATAATGCTACTGACAAAATATTGTGGCAACTCAAGATTACGACATGATGGCTTAGAATTAACTATTCAATAAATGTTAGGTTTGCTTTTTTATCTATTGTCTATTTTCTCCTGTAATGTTTGTTTTCTGATTGTTACCACAATTCATATGAAAAATTATTTTAAATACATATATTTTTCAATGCCATTATCCTGTTTTAATGAGATAAATATTAATATTTGCCTGAATCTTGCATTTTAAAACACTACACTACCCCTCCCAGTAGTTTAGATGCTAAGTAATACATTTAAAGTGTAAAAATCATTTCACATTTTTCATGATTAAATATTTCTTGAATTCTGTTCTTTGTTAATGCAGCAAAGCCAAATTAAAGTCTCTGAAGGATATGGAATTTTTTATTACTCTAAGAAAAGCAAAACTTGTTGTATAACCTGGGTATCACTGAAATTTAAAACCTTCAACCAGGCCATATGGTCATGGAAGAACTAGGTCAATTATCACTTCTCATTGTCACTACTGTACTTTTATGGAAACATTATGCAGTCACACCATATTTTCCAACTTTAAGAAGAGCAGCAAATTTTGCAAGCAAAACATCTTGGACTGAAATGTTATCTCAATATAAAAATGTTGGTTGAAATTTACAATTCTAAAAGTATCAATATTAGAAAGTAGAGAGAAATGGTTCTGGTTTTCTACATTTGTGTTATCTCCATACACATTTAAGAAGTGACTGTCAAATATAGGTACCCAGGGTTAATGTTAAACCACCACCTGTACCACTGGCATCACATATGGGCACCACTTCCAATCTAGCCCCCTGCTAATACACTTGGGAGCATACAAGATGGTCCAAATGCTTCGGCCCCTGCCATTATATGGGAGAGCCAGATGGAGTTCCAGGCTCCCGACTCTGGCCTAGTCCATCCCTGGCCATTGCAGTCATTTAGGGAGTGAACCAGCAGAAGGAAGACCTCTGTCTCCTTATTTTTCTGTAACTCTGCCTTTGATATAAATAAAATAAATGTTTTAAAAAAATGGGAAACTAGAGAAAGATTGGAGTAGAGGTTCCCTGTATCAACAGAAGCACATCCCAGGGGATTTTCAGATGATTAGGGAAATAAATTCCTACAAATGTAACTGTAGTACATGAGACTCTTAATTTGCAGATCCTTTAGACAAAATAGAAATTATGCTGAGCTATGTAGTTTAAAGGGTATTGTTTGGCCCAAATATTTGCAAAATGCTCTAGAGGAAAATTAATAAGACATTAATAAAATACAATAAGATATCTTGTTAAGTATAAATTTAATTAAAAACAGCAAGGTTTTGTCCCAGTTTCTTACATTTTTGAAGATATGAAAACACCATAAAGACATATTATAAAGGTTCATTGATAGAAGTACATTCTTTCTTTAAAGGAAAGACTTTGGAATGAATACTTAAAATCCATACAGAATCTCTCCACTAAAGCTACTAATTTTAAGGCTTAAAATTTTTAGTCTAAAGAAAACAATTTAATTGGATCCATTTTTTTGCCATTATTATTGAGAAATACTGTCTTTACAGAGACAGTCCATCTACAGTGTAATTAAGTACAATTAACTTTGTCAGAACAATAACTTTACTGTACACTAGCACACTAGTGAACATATACATCACAACTATAATTCTGCCCCTACAGAAGCTTACTGGCATGTTAAAGAAACTACAGGTTTTTAATGAAATTTTATAGCTGCTTTTTAATTTTTATTAGACATTTGACATTACAGCATTTTATTTAGTTTTGTTTATAAAATTTCCAAACTTTTGCATAAATCCTCGGAACTTATTTTCATTTGGTTGATATGAGTGGTAAACACCAGGGTTGTAATTAAGCATTGGGCTGGACCTGCCGTAACTGTTACCCATAGTTGTGGGTTTAATTTCTCGGCGGTTTATACTAGGACTTGGCATGTTGCTTGTTGGCTGAATGGAGCTCTCAATTTTACAAAAAGGCTCAAAACGACTGTAAACACGCCGGTCAGTTGAATGAGTTCTTAAGATCTCATTGGGCTTTGGCCTTGGAGAAGAAGTTGACCTCCTTTCAGGAACAACAACTGCATGAATCTCCTTTGGATCTCGGTATTGGATCTGTTCTGTGTTAAACCTTGGGGCAGAGGCATCTCCTGCCCTTTCTAAGAACTTCCTTTCAACTGGAGCTGCAGAAGTAATTATTTTATTATTTTCATCTGATGGAGAATTTATTCCCATAGATGAGCTAACTGCTACATCTTCCTTACTTTTGTGAACGCTGCCTTGAGAATTTGATGAGGAAGAACGCTTTCTTCTAGGAGATGAATCAATTTTGTGTTCTGATTTCTTTGGCTTTTGATTCTCTTCACCCTCAGAAACTAAAGTGTCAGAACTACTACACATTCTGTAGAAGGCAGGTGCTTTATTCTTTGATAGCGTCTCTTTCTTTTCTGGGGTAAGGCTAAGTAAGGACCTCAATTTTTGAGATCCCTTCTTCAAAAAACTTGGGGAACCCTTACCTTCCTTCTTCGAAGTGAGTTCTTTGTTGGGTTCCTCTTTATTCACATCAAGTAAAGCAGCAATGGAGATGGATTTGGTAGCAGTGCTATTGGGAGGGGATCTACTGTCTACCTCCTCGTCTTCCTCTGTATTACGGGTCACATTGTGCATGCTTTTAGAACTTTTCAACATATCTTCTTTGGGTTTTTCTGGTTGTCTAACTCGATTCCTGGTAAGTGTGCTGTATACATAATGCTTACTATTTCCATGAGCTAAATTAGCTTTAGAGTGATCGAAGGATGGGAAACTTCGCCTTTTAAGCAGGTTCTCATTGTGTTCATTCTTTAGATTTTCTGTCTGCTTATTCAAACACAAGGTTGTATATATATAGTTATTGGACTCTGTACGGCCATTTGTAGCTTGGTTTGAAACTGTTGAGTGAATTTCAGGAATCTGCAAGGTATGCATTTTTGATGTCTCTGATTGTGGCTGTAGCTTGGGGATTGATTCTGGCATAGGCTTGTCTGTTGAATGCTCTACACTTGTAGGGATGTCTGGGATCTTTTTAGGTGTATCACTTCCCTGGGAACCAGTGATAGTTGAATTGGAGGAGTCAGTTGTACAACTGTTAACTTCCTGTTGCTCAGGTAAAGTTGGTTTAAACACAAAAGAGGAACGAAGCCGAGAATGAGTGTAAAGAGCATTGGCTTTCAAATTCTCAGGACTATCATAGCCCTCAAACCGGTCACCCAAGGCCGATCCGCTGGAATCAGGGGGAGCTTCTGATTGATCATTTAAATAAGATTCAATTCTCCAGTTACGTAGGAACGATTTTGTGGTATGCTCAAGGGTTGGCATTCGTTGTTGCAAAAACCGAATATGATTATCAGTTCCATTAAAAGACCTTCGCACATTTGAATTTCTTTCTGGAAGATTTGTTTTTCTTTGAGCAAGTCGATCAGCAAAACTTTGAGCAGGAGTGTTATGGTGGCCTGTGTAGCCTCCCCGTGATGAAGATGCCACACTGAGACTATCTGATGGCCTTTTCCAATTACCAGGTGGATGACTGGTTCGATTCAGAGTCCTATTAAGCAGCAAATACGGTGTTGTTTCTGGTTGCTCCCCAGCATAACTATGCCTTTTCCAATTTTCATTTAGCTGACTGGGTTGAAACTGACGGATTGTGTTTGGACCATTAAAGTTTGGAATAAAATGAGGTTTGTACCCGAGATTTCTTACGTTATACTTGTCATGCTCGTTTAAAGCATATATCCCTCTGTTTTTCAAGTAACTAGAATCTAGTTTATGTATGGTGTCTTGCCTACCAAAAAGGTTGCGCTGGCTGGAAACGGAAGCTAATGAGGACAGTGAACGCTGGTAAGCGCCATTCTCCCAGAGTGTTTTGCCATGCTTCACCCTTGCTGATTCATCTGGAGCAAATGAACTGGGAACACAGGATCTGGCATAGAGAGTTCTAAATTCTTCATCAAAAGACTCAACAAGTTGTCCTGTAATTATCTGAACCATACTGAGGTGAGCTTTTTCAAATGACCACATATAGCTGAAAAAAAAATGAAAATTGGAAAACTTTAATTTCACAAAGTTAAAAGATTAGTGGTAACACATACTTCTATTTAAAGTATGTCATTAATGTGCACAAAAATATCCTTATTGCAAAAAACAGGATTTCATTTTTTACAGCTGAACAGTACTTCATAGTGTGTGTGTGTATATATATATATATATATATATACCATGTAACTGGACACCATTATACTTAGTGAAATAAACCAGGCCCAAAAAGACGGCTATCATCAGTTTTCCCTGATCGGACGTAATTAATAGAGTACCTGAAAAGTAATGGATTGGAGTGAAGCAGACATTTTGAGACTCAATGATTGTTTACAGCCCTTGCCTCTTATGTTGAAGAACAATTTTTTTTCTCTTCATACTATCTGTTGAACTCTTTCACTTAAGAGTATGTTAACTATAGGATCCTTAAGTTAACTGAAAATAGATCTTTGTAAAATTAAGTGTGAGAATGTGAGAGGGAGGGGGAGGAAGGGTTGGAATGTGGATGGGAGGGAAGGTGGTGGTGGGGGAAGTGCCACTATGTTCCTAAATCTGTATATATGAAATACATGAAACTTGTACAACTTAAATAAAATTTACAAAAAAGCAAAGAAAAAATTCTTTATTCTTTCTTATTTGTATTTTAAATAATAACAAATTATGACTTTGAATCTATCTCCTTTCATACCGTCCTTCCCAGAGGTTCCAAGAAAAGCTTGTAGTGCGTTTTCCATCTGTGCCTACCAGGATTCTACAGAGTAGAAACTGATATTATGCTTCACATAAACCACCTGGCCAGGAGTAGGAAAGTCAGTATTGGAGGACAAGTTAGGAGACTGGCTGTAGTCTTAAGAGTTTTGGCTTCACAATCCTCTGCCTAAAACGAAGACATGGACAGCATAATAGCTGTAAAACCTTATGATGGGTCGGCACTATGGTATAGTAGGCTAGGCCTCCACCTGTGGCTGCCGGCATCCCATATGGGCACCGGTTCATGTCCCAGCTGCTCCTCTTTGATCCGTCTCTCTGCTATAGCCTGGGAAAGCATCAGAAGATGGCCCAAGTGCTTGGGCACCTGCACCCCATGGGAGACCAGAAGCACCTGGCTCCTGCCTTTGGATCAGCTCGGTGTGCTGGCTGCAGCGCGCCAGCCGTGGCGGCCATTGGAGGGTGAACCAACGGCAAAAGGAAGACCTTTCTCTCTGTCTCTCTCTCTCTCACTGTCCACTCTGCCTGTCAAAACAAACAAACAAACAAACAAAAAACTATAAACAGAGGGTTTGAGGGAAGCTGCCTCAATCACTAATGGGTGGACTTCACTGTACTTAATGTACAAAGGATTGATAAATATAGTCCTCATAAATCAAGTCAGTCAAATGCCAATCAGGGTCTTTTTTTTTTTTGACAGGCAGAGTGGACAGTGAGAGAGAGAGACAGAGAGAAAGGTCTTCCTTTTCTATTGGTTCACCCCCCAATGGCCGCTGCGGCCGGCGCACCGCGCTGATCCGGAGCCAGGAGCCAGGTGCTTCTCCTGGTCTCCCATGTGGGTGCAGGGCCCAAGCACTTGGGCCATCCTCCACTGCACTCCCAGGCCAGAGCAGAGAGCTGGACTGGAAGAGGTGCAACCAGGACAGAATCCGGCGCCCCGACCGGGACTAGAACCTGGTGTGCTGCAGGTGGAGGATCAGCCTATTGAGCCATGGCGCTGGCCAATCAGGGTCTTTTTATATTGAACACAGTCTCCAGAACTTGAAGTTTTCAATGACTTTACAGTACTTGCTGGTATTTCTGATTCCTTTCCTAGAGTTTAGAAGTGAGAGCTATCTTGAAATTTGATATTAAATTTGAAAGTTATTTTTGAAAACTTATATGATGAATCTGAACTTAAAAAGAAAGTCCCTGCTAATATGCTATATGCTATTATCCATATGTGCTATATGGATAATAATATTTATGATACAATGAAGATAAATACAGAAGGAGAATGAGACATACTCTACATACTGAAGGATTTTCCTGTTTATACAGATGAGACAATAGTAAATGCAGGTGAAAAGATTAAAATAATTTATAGACTAATACTTTAAAATACATAAAATTTGTAGAACTGGTGGACATTGTGGCACAGCAGGTTAAGTCCACTTGGGATGCCTGCACTCCATATTGGAATGCTGGTTCTATTTCCTGCTACTCTGTTTCTAATGAAGCTCCTTATTAACACAACTTGGAAGCAGTCATTGATGCTCAAGTACTTTATTTTTTGACACTCATGTAGGAGACCCAGATGGAGTTCCTGGCTCCTTTTTTAGCCCATCTCAGTTCAGCTGTTTCAGCCATTTAGGAAGTGAACCAGTGGATGCAGGAATTCTCTGTCATCTGTCACTCTGATGTTCAAACAAATAAGTCTTTAAAAATACACATTAGTGTGTAATTTGAGACTATAATTGTTTGGATATGTTCAGTTTTATCTAGTACGTCCACTGAATGCACAATACAGAAGAATAGTTATTAGGTTTTCTTTATGTGAACCCATATGGATCACTAGGCTGAATTAAAATAAGTGCTATAAAAGTGAGTAAGTAGAGAAATTTCAAACTGACTGAAGATACAAATATAAAGTATGTTAGAAATATCAAATAGTGGAATAAGTAGTCAGACAGTAAGTGTGTGGAAATCCCCAGGGAAGGTGGTAGCTTAGCAGTATTTTGACATAGACTAGATACTCAGAAATGCACACACAAAAGATGTGGGAGGATAATTTGTGTAGAAGAAGAAATATATGGAAAAGGGAAGTAAGCAATAACGGCTGAGTTTTTGTTGAACACAGAAATAAAAAGGTTATATTTAGCGCTAGTAAAGAAGCTATATAAGTGATTTATGAAATAGTGGCAGAGAATATTGAATGCAAATCACAAAGTTTGATTGTGTAGGATTTGTCTACATGTTTGGGTAAATTACACTAGAAAGATATGTTTGAGAAATTATTTTTCTAGTAGCTATTTGTCAGATCTGAAAGATAAGGGATTACACTTACTACAAAGAATAGTGTAGTTAGAATAAGATTAGAAGAGAAACCTTAGTAAAAATTTGGATAATGAGTCAAACTGTTGATCCAGTAGCAAGAAGAAATTAGAATATCTGTATCTCAAAGAGGCTATTCACAGTTTATGAAATAAAAATAATCCCCCAGGTACTGAGTTCAGGAAACTCAGAAGATACTGGTACCGGTGAATGTGTGACAATTGGAAAGGGTTTCCTGCTTTGGTAAATCAGAATATTATAATACAAGTTCAGGTGACAGGAAGACACTAAATAAAATGTTCACTAAGGAAATCTGAAAGCCTGCAGACATCCCTTGGGGTTTGGGGTAAATAACTGTGCTCCTCTGTCATTCTAGGTGCTTTAGGCCAACAGCCTGAGTCTGGATTATCAGTGCTGACCTCTTCCTTATTCCTGGAATCCATTCCAATCTCTACTTGGAATTCTAATGGGCCTCACAAACCTAATACCAAGACTTCCTCCAACACCCCCTTCCCCTAACCTGTTCCTTCCCCGGTTTTACTTATTGAAGTCAGTGAATTAACTACATTTTCAGGAGATCACTATGGAAATAAGGAGTCTCCTCTGAATGCTCTTTCTTAGATTCAACAGGTCTGTTGATTCAGATTCCAAAACCTCTCACAAATCTCTCTACCCTTTTATCACCACAGTCTGATACATCATCACCTAATCTGACTCCTAGATTTTTTATGTGCTCATTTTTCAATCAACATAGCAGCAGGTATGGTCTTTTAAAATTACAAATGGAGTAATGCCCGGCGCCGCGGCTCAGTAGGCTACTCCTCCGCCTTGCGGTGCCGGCACACCGGGTTCTAGTCCCGGTCGGGGCACCGGATTCTGTCCTGGTTGCCCCTCTTCCAGGCCAGCTCTCTGCTGTGGCCAGAGAGTGCAGTGGAGGATGGCCCAAGTGCTTGGGCCCTGCACCCCATGGGAGACCAGGATAAGCACCTGGCTCCTGCCATCGGATCAACGCGGTGCGCCGGCCGCAGCGCGCAGGCCGCGGCAGCCATTGGAGAGTGAACCAACGGCAAAAGACCTTTCTCTCTGTCTCTCTCTCTCTCACTGTCCACTCTGCCTGTCCAAAAAAAAAAAAAAAAAAAATTGAGTAATGTCATACTCCTACACAGAATTTTCCATTTCACTTAAAATGAAAGCCCTTACACCTGGACTAAGAGAATTCCTTCTTGCCTGCTCTTCAGTTAGTTTTACTGTGGAAAGCTCTTCCTTTGCCTAATAGGCTCCTAGAACACTGGCCTTCTTTCTTTTCTTCAGCTACCTGCCCAAAGATCTTTGCACTTGCTGTTCCCTCTGCAATATTTTGCTACCCTCTGATAGTCCCTGACGGACATCCTTTTAGAGGACAATTATGACTATTCCTTTCAAAATATCCACCTGAACATGTTTTATCATATATTCCTAATATGATTCCTACAACACCCTTTATTATTATATTTCCTTATGGGCTTTCCTTTTATTAATCATCTGATTTCTTTGCCTGTTAATATAAAAATCATTTCACCTCAGGGATCTAGCATATATTTTTTATTGCTCTCTTCCTAGGGACTAAGAATGATACTTATCACGGAAACAGTATCCATATAGGCTGTAGCATAGAGCAACAGGAGAGAATCCTCTCTACACCAGGGCTCCTCCCTTCAGATGGAAATAAAACAGACAATGCATCCAACATTCTGGCTTGCCTAAAGGGCTCCAAAAGAAACTAGCATCTGTCTTGACTGGTTGAATGCTGACAGGATTGGCATCAGAGTTTGGAAACCACTGAAAACAGATGTTCAGTATGTTACAGCTGCATTTCCACAAGATGACACCAAGGTAGCAAGCAAATAAGAGATTTGGGCAGTCCTAGAAATTCCAACTGGGCTGACTGGTGGAAGGTTGCCCCTTGAATGAAGACAACATACAAAGGCT